TATTTTATTTTTTAATACAGTTGTAAATATCATGAATAAATAAAAAAAAATAAAAATAAATAAATAACTACGTAACTATTGATTTTATCAAAAAAATATGTAGGGTCATTTTTATAGAGATTTTAAAGTACTTTAATATTTTACGAAAAATCTTTGCGAAAAATATCATAGATTTTAAGATATTCTAAAAAGAAACTAAAAAATTATCAGTTTTCTGTCCTTCTCCCCCTTCCCCAAGCAAAACCAGGATTCATTGGGATTTTTTATCAGTTATTATGGAAAGGGTAATAAACAATATCTAACAAGTTTTATCTTTACTTTTTGAATGTTGGGACCAATTCCTAATTTTACTGAACTATTATATCTTGTATGTTTTATGTGTGGGCGGGGTGGCCGAATGGGCTAAAGCGTGTGCACAGCACCGCCGTTGCCCGGCAACCTGATCTATGAATCAAAGATATAAAAATAGTCACGAGTTCGCGTCCCGGTGCCGGGGAGTCTTTTAAATCCCCGCCCACACCCCCTGGCCCGGGAAAATCCCGTATAGCCTTAACGGCGAGGAAGGGAAGGACCCAAAAAAAAAAAATGTTTTATTTGAAGTATATCACAGCCGATCAAGATTTGGCTAGAGTATTCTTCCAAGAAGAAAGATTTTAAAAATTATCGTAACCTATAATAGTCGCTAACGGTTTGAATTTGCATTTTAATATCAAGAGGGAAGCCAAGAGCATCTTTAGAATACTTGTCTGTTTTATTCATAAGCTCTTGTTATTTTTACAGAGTAATTTCGTTTATTCATTTTTTTTTTTTTTTTTTTTTTTACTCCTCCCTGTTTCCCTCTTTTCCTTAACCCTCTTTTGAATATCAATTAATAAATTTGTTTGGAGGCCCCTTCCCCTTTGAAGAAAGTTCATTGAACGAGTCAATTTGCCATTGGAGGATATTTAATAAAAATTGGCGAGAAATTTTTATTTTAATTACGTTTGGGAAGAACATCTTTCAAGTCAAACATTTTTAATTATACAACTAGAGTGAACGCACCAGTAATGGACAGGGGGTCCTGTAATGGACAGATTGGACTTTAAAATGTAAATAATAAGCAGCCATGTTGATTGAAAGGTTTCAGTTGTTTCTAGATTGAAAAACAGTGCCCTCTATTGATAACTGTATGAACAAAGTTCCCAAAAGAAAATTTCAAAATGTCTACCATTGTTTCTATAGTGCTCTTGAGATCAGTGTGTTTCATAACTGCTACTAACAGTTTTGTTAAGAGTCAGTTAATCATTTATATTATCTAATATTACTATAGTTAAATAAAGATTTTAGAGTTTTTCTGAGGTATGTCCATTACAAGAACGATTGATTATGGGGTGTCCACCACTAGTACAAAGAGGTGTTTTTTTTTTAATGGAGATTAAAATACATTTTATTTCAATTTTTTTTTTGTTATTTATTTAATGAAATTTAAAACTGTATAAAAATACTACCAGTTAAAATGCACACATTAGAAATAATGGAAGGAGATCGTCCGGGATGGCGGTCATAAATAGTGGTAAAACTATTCTATTAATAGTCAACGTTTCGACCCGACTTTGCACGTTTTTTTCAGGGCTAGAACGGACAAGATAGAGAATTGAGGAAGTTACATAATCTTTAGACAAAAAATTATAAACAATGTGAATAAGCTTATTAAAATTATAAACAGTAAGTACATTAAAATATAAACAGAGTAAGCTAAGTACGTGATCCTAAACTGAAGTAAATAGATGGTAACAATTGTTGTAGAGTAATATATAATATATGCAAATGTGAATATACTTCTAAAGGTCTACAGAAGAGATTGAAAGAAAATGAAAACGGATATAATATGAAATATTTATTTATTTATTTGTTTTTTATTGTTGCCTCTACCCTGCAGGGTCATTGGCAACACTTCCTATTTATATTCTACTGTCGGAAATGAACAGTCAGACGAAGCAGCAAATATGGCGAGAAGGCTAGATAGAAATCCAACAGTTATAATCAAAGAAATCCCGACAGAAGATTTCATACACCATATAAAAAAAACATTGCGGGTAATATGACAGAACGTATGACAACAAAAAGAAACCAAATTAAAAGGAATAAAAAGCCACTGTTCCAAATGGAAAACTAGCAACCGACTCTCCAGATAAGAAGAGACAGTCCTCTGCCGCTTACGAATTGGGCATTGTGAATTTTCACATGGCTACTTACTAAGAGAACTAGACCCACCGACCTGCGAGAGCTGTAAGGTGCAAAGAACTGTCCAACACATCATCCAAGACTGCCCGGTATTTGAGAATGTAAGGAAAAATCTCGATACGGCTCAGAGCCTAAAAGAAAACCTCAGCGACAACGAAAACGCCGTGGAAAAAACCTTACAGTTTTTAAAAATAATAAAGTTCTACAATAGAATATGAAATAATAGACGTAAAGAAATGTGGAGAAAGAAAACCAAAAAATAAATAAATAAGTAAATAAAATGGAAGAATAAAATATGAGACTTACAGGTGTGTTCAGCTGGAAGTTTCCCTTAGAACTGGAAAACCAAGGGTAAGGTCAGCTATAGGGGACGCTGACTTGTTTGGGTAATGGGGAAAAACCTAGGAAATTACAGTATCTAAATTATGAAGATATGGATGGATACAATGGAAAAATACCATATCTATGAAATATTAAATTATAAATATATACATTTACATATAAAATAGAATTGAGAGATTATAAATAAGGGTACGAGGTGAATAAACCCAAAAGTAGGCAAAAGTAAAAAATAAATATATAAATAACTTCATTTTAACCTGGACCATCTCCTTCATTTATAATGCAACGGTCAACTATTCAATATTCATTATTTTTTTTTATTTTTAGTTAAACAAAAATTTTAGAGTTTTTCTGATATATATATATATATATATATATATATTACTGGTACCGACCCCTGTCCATTACTAGAACGATTGAATTTCGGTGTGTTCATCACTAGTACAAAAAGATGTTTTTTAAATGGAGATTATACCTTCATAGCTGGATATTTTTTTTCAATTTTAAAGTATTAAATAGAAAAAAGAGACCCAAGAAGTTTGTACCTATAATAATTACGGCAGCATAAGCCAAAAAATATAAAATTCCCTTAGCTATGTCCATCATTGGTGCGCTTACCCTAATATGATTGCGAACGAAGCCTATTTACTCTGGTTATCGAACATTGTATCGGTCAGTAGCAATCACAATTTAGTCAGTTAAAGAAAGCTTTCTCCTCAATTTTTTTTAGTTTCCAAATCTTTCCACATATACATTTTTTTTCGTTCTTTACAACACTGAAATGACCTCCACCTATCTTTAAGTTTCCGTTTAAACAGCAACACTTTTCTATTGTGGTGTAATGTCTTTGTTTCCATGCACAAAATACAGGTAGTGACTTTTATGACAATAACAAAAAGGTGATTTTCCTGATGGGATAAACCAAATTTTGGCCAAGGATTCGAATTCAAAAGCTCAAACATTGGCTAATGGAAAAAATAAAGTAAGACTAATTGATCAAATGTGGAGTTTTATTATTAAAAACACCACACTAATTACGTATTTTCAATTTCATATATGTGGATTAAATGCAACTTTATTTTTTTTTAACTTGCAATTTTTTAAATCACACCTTTCAAAATTAGTAGTGGCAGTGAATTCGATGATAGTGCAAAATGTAATGGGATATGTAAGGCTTGAGGGAGAGCAGTATCCAGTGGCACCTCCTCCTGGCATGATATTTACAATAGTGAAGGAGGTCCCTCATCCAGATCCTCTTTAGTCTTCTACGGACGTAACCTGGTATGTATGATGTGGCCATGCAATTTAAGTTGTCATGGAATCGTTCGTAGTGGGTTTGTCATGAAAGGCATGATGAGGAGCAGTGCCCAGCGATACCTCACTCGGCGTGATATCTACATTAGGTGAGGAAGTCCCTCATCCAGCTCCTTTTCGGTATCCTACAGACGTTACCTGCCTTATTGGAAGCATGTAATTTATGAGTGTGTTAGTATGTCCTTGTAAGTTGTCGTGGAATCGTTTGCAATGAGTTTGCATGTGTTCGTTAGCAGTCAGCAAATGAATTTGAGTATATTAGGTTATGGTGCAAACGTACCGTGGTGCATTTTTTTTTTTTTTTTTGTGTGAGTCTTTTTAGCAGTTCCTGTACACTGTCTTTTGTAGCAGTATCTGTTATACGTAACTCCAAATAGGGTTTAGGAAGTAAAAAATTGCATGAATTCGATTTCTGTCTAAGATTTTGTTTTGAGTGTTTCCCGAGAAGTGTATTTCGAAGTCATAATCTTTGATTAAGTGTTTCTCTATTTTTAGTAATATTTGGGCTCCAAGTCATTTTGTGGTCAAATGTAAGTCCAAGATAGGGAACGGAGACTGTGAAATCAGTGTATTGTCAAGGAAAACAGCAGATCATGATACATTTGGAAGGATAAACGTGATTTAGTCGTATTTTTCAAAGTTTAAACCAGTCATGTAATTTTCTTAAATACTGTTAAGTGAATGAACAATATAGTACTATTACCAATGTCCATCAGTGTGGCAGACTGTATTAATACTATTAAGGGCCTGTGAGGATTTAAGGGATTCTGGTCGGTTTACTCAAAAAATACACCATTAACAATTGATATATACAATATAATTTTTTGGGAAACAATACAAAAGCTATGAGTAATAAAGTTTAAATAAAAATACAGAACGAAAATAATGTTATACAGAAATGAGAAAATTCAGCTGCTCTAATATTAACTACAGAATAAAGAGAAAAAAAAGGTAAAGTTTTATAAAGAAAAATATAAAATATAAAATTATGCTTGATAATTAACAAAAACTTAAAAGTGTTGCAACTCCAGCCCAGACAATTGTTATGCCGCTGAGTAAAAATTGCACATTTTTCACGTTAGCGACTAAACTATTTTTTTTCTATCACTCTAAACTGTCTCTTTTTTTATATCATCTGTTTTTTAAACAATTTAATCGATGTTTTGTATTGAGCCTGGACGATCGATTTCCAAAGAGGTAGGAAGAAGTAATGCTGGCTGCAGCAATGGTTACTGAAGGCGTCATCACGTCACAAGAGTGCGGTAACAAGGTGTATATTGGTTATTGAGGCTTGCTAATATTGTTGTGTCGTCTGCATATGTCGCTGTTAAAATTTTGGTATGCCATGGGTGTATGTGATATAGAACATTATTCACACAGGCCAAATATACATAAAATATGCAAAAAGATAATAAGATTTATTAATTTCAAATCAAGAGGAAATGATAACAAATTTATATAGGGTTAGTGAAGAAAATTGGAGATAGGTTTAGAAGAATCCAATTTGCCATCCGATTTGGCCTAGAATCAAAAACAGATAGACATGCAGGACAGCATTAAAGAAATGAGGAAGAAGGAATTGGAGACTAGGACGTGGTTGGAATGCTAAGTCGACACTTGGGATCCAATATATCGACCCTCGCATCTTAGCAGTTATCCTCTTCAGTCTAGATCGAGTCTAGTATCTCCGAGTAGGTTGTATGATCCACTAGCTAATAATAGTAATAACATTAAGCTTTATTGTCCTCAATTATTGACAAAAGCCTCCCCTAAGGAGGAATTTTAACGGAGTTAACTACAGCACAGAAAAATATGTTTAAATTATTAAACATTTTTTTACACTAATTTTTAATTTGGTCAACTTAATGACTACAACATCTTACTACGACGTTTCAACTCGTTTTTAGTCCATTATGTACCTGTCCATTTCACTTCTTATGCGAATTACATGTGTCTACTCATAATAAAATGTATCACTCGTGTCATGTCCACCTTTAATATGTATCAACCACATGTTGTCTGTCTCATTTCTATTTAGTCACTATTCAGCCATTTTTTGAAAAGATTGGAAAATATATAAAATCAATAATATTTAGTAGCATGTCTCGGAAGATATATGAGATTAACAAATGGAATACTTAATAAGTTATGTAAACTATAAAATGATATAGGGAGGAGATGGTCCGGGGTTGCGGTCATAAATAGGCTAAATAGTGGTAAAACTATTTACCCAAACAAGTCAGCTTCCTCTATACCTTTCCTTACCCTTAGTTTTCCAGTCATAAAGGAAACTCCTAGCTGAACACACCTGCATGATAAACTCCAGTCCCATCCGAATCCACATGCTTCCAGCCTTGCTTTTTCCTCGATTCCTGATAATCTCCCTAGGCGTCTGAAAAGAAGATGTCCTCTTGATCTTCTTACCTAGAATTAAATAGGGGCAGTATATCTTCAAGTCTGTTCATGTCATTATTTCTAATTGAATATTTGATAGTTGACCGTTGCATTATAAAGGAAGGAGATGTCCGTGGTCGCGGTCATAAATAGGCTAAATAGTGGTAAAACTATTCTATTAAAAGCTAACGTTTAGACCCGACATTGCAGGTCTTCTTTTTCTTTTCCTTCTCCACATTCCTTTTATGTCTATTATTTCATATTATATCCTTTTTCCTTTTCTTTCAATCTCTCCTTTAGATCTGTAGAAGTATATTCACATTTGCATTTATTATATATTACACTACAACAATTGTTAGCATCTATCTACTTCAGTTTAGGATCTTATTACTTAGCTTGCTTTGTTCATATTTTAATGTACTTACTGTTTATAATTTTAATAAGCTTATTCACATTGTTTATAAATTTTGTCTAAATCTTTTTGTATCTTGTCCGTTCTAGCTCTGAAGAAGACCTGCAAAGTTGGGTCGAAACTTCGGATTTCAATAAAATAGTTTTACCACTATTGGTGACCGCAACCCCGGACCATCTCCTTCCTTTATAATGGAACGGCCAACTATTAAATAGTCAATATAAAAAATAAACTTATAAAATATAATATTAAATATTATTAACCTCTACTGAAGGTGGTGGCACTTATATGGGAGAGACGGGGGAGAATTTTCTCAGAAGAATGGGAATAAAAATATTAATGTGACTGAGTCCTCATTATTTATAACCTATGAGAATTTTCTTAGATTATAAAGTTCTAGCTTACGATGGGATGAAGCCATTTACGAAGCCTTTTCCAGGTATTAACAATTTAAAAGAAAAAAAGTGGTCAATAAGGCGAACTACAACTAATACTAATAACAGTCGAGAAAAATATAAATCGATATGTAGTGTTGTTACAATATTTTATTTAGCTATGATTCGATGTCCATTAAATCTTGAAGCTACCACCTTCGGTCTCGGACAAGCTCCGTCCACCGCAGAAGAGCTTCCCCTTCGTTCCCTCGGGATGTGATCCCTTCCAGTTTTTTCCCTCCATGGTACCATCAATCTATGGCAGGCCCATAATCATTCCAGGCTCCTTTCCATGATTGATCGCCTGCCTTCTTATGTCTTCTTACCTTCTTCTTGATCAATGGACTCTTTCGGATTTTATGGGACGGGTTATTCAATCATTGAGATACAGAGAATGGAAAGTATTCGTTAGTGGACAGCGATCCATAGCATGATTGTACTAGAATATTTTCATTTACTATATTCCAGAAATCCCAAAATTCAAATACATAAATAACTATACACTCATGGGTTAGATTTTTTCAGTTATGTCGGCTCTAACTTTTTTTATCAATGAAATAAAATGAAAATTAAAATAAATCTGGTGCGCTCATCACATAAATTTCACTGACCGCTCTACTTCGAATAGAAATCATATACTTGCCATTGCGGACTACTATAAAAGTGTATTTTTAACTGAGCTAAAGCTTTGAACCTTACAGATAACAACTAATTAAGATCATTAAAATAACACAAACCCTATATATTGTAACGACGGTAGGCCATACAAATTTAGTTACACCAACTATTTTTGTGAACCACACAATTCCGGTTTTTGAGTAATATACTCCTAGAGAATTCGGAATGTACATCTTTATATTTATACAATAAATGATTATGGTTTGTACAGCTATTATTTGTTAAACTCTTATTTTTTCCTTGTAAAGTATACTAAAATGCAGTTACGAGATTATTATTGTCAACCATCGATAGATGATAATTTGTCACAATAATTGTATGTGGTTAATGTTTTGATTTCACAAAGTCTTAAACTTATCAAACTATACACTAACTTAATTTTTTTAAATGTTACATAATGAACTTTCGGAATAAACCGACTATTGATATATAATTATTTATATATTATTTCGGATCTTGATCTATTCAAACTACAGTGTATTAAAGATTAATAAGATATGTTTTACACATCCATGAAATATTTTTATAGTTTTTATTTGCCTTTAGTCGGTAGATTTTATATAAGATGCAAAAATTTTCAAACTTAAACATATGTATTGAATACTTAATACGTTGATCGTTGTATTTTTGAGGAAGGTTTATTCTAGCCCTGAAGAATACCGACAAAGTCAGGTCGAAACGTTGGCTTAAAATGGTTGTGCTACTATTTTAGTTTACTTATGACCGCCACCTCGGACTATCTCCTTCCTCTTAAACATATGTTATTTTAAAAGTTAACATTTCGTTCGAAAATTTCATTTAATTTCCTTGGAAACAAGTGGTTTTCATGAAATAAATTTTATGTTAAGGAATTGTTATTAATAAAATATTTTCGTCACTCTTCTTTACCCTCTATGGCTTTCTGTATTAGACATTGTGTTTTCTTAAATTCTCAACTTTCCAACGATATATTTAAGTATACCTACATATCATTACTTCCGAAGATTAATTTTATGTTTATAAATATTTATTTACTTTATAACATTTCATTTTTTACTGCAAAACATTTTATTATTTATTTATTTATTTTTTATTTAGAAATATAATAATTGGTCAAGTAGACAATAATTATAGTCATATTTGAACCCATTCATACCATACATACATAAAATATAAAATTAACAAAAGTAAAATAATAATCAAATAATTTAAAGATAAGTAAATTAAAAGCATCAAAACACGGTCATACTTCTATACAATCAGGCGGGGAACCCCAGGCTTCTCTCTCCAACTATAGACTCCAAGAGATCCCTGCGCTACTCTCTCAAGTGCGTCACTGGTGCTAAACCAGTGGAGTTTGAGAGAGAGCGTTTTAGCCACATAACTCATGTGTTGAGTGGAGAATCTGGCCATTGCCAGAACTCCAATATATAGACTACAAAAAATCTCTGGGTCACTGCCGCTTCAATCTTCGAGGAGGATTGTAGGGATGAATGGAACTAGATAGGGATTGTGCTAGGGGATTTGGATGATTTATAAGGTTTTTTAAAAATTTTCTGTGATAAGGTCAAGGACAAATATGATATTAAGGTCATGATGTAGGGTTTTGTTGGTTACATAGAACGGAGAATAAACTATTATTATTTATTAACAATACATTATTTATAAGGATGTATATATGACTATAGGATAATATAAAACAATAACAATAAAATAAAATAATTCATTTATAATTCAAAGAATATAAAATATTAGATTCGACCAATAGAATCCTCATACTATTCAATATGAAAAAAATAGAATTGATCTCTTTATAACTTACACTATTCTATAAACAAATACTCTTTACAATAATCTCTACCAATCACTGAATCAAATAATGATTATTGACTTCGAAATTGACAATATAAATATAAATACACTTTTTATTATCCATTTATGTATCCACATTAAAATGAATAAATAAACCAAAAGAAACTGATGACTGAAGAATTTTGCGCCTTTAAACAAACAAACAAGCAAAATTTAATTTAATTATACACTTAAAAAAAAAATTATTTATTCATGAGATACTTTGGAGAAAATTATACGTTTGCGAACTGCGACACTGTCCAGCAGCGAAGTACAAGGTTCGGAATTTTCAATCATTTTAATTTATTTTAACAATGCTTAAACCAAGAAGTTGTGAAACCTCGTTTAAATACTATTCTTAAACAAATTTTTTCTAAATACTTTTTTTTTAATGCGAAAACTGTAATTATTTTTGAAATGGTATACAAAATAAGAAATTTTAATTGAAACATATTTGATTATGGTAATTATTTTTTACTGAAAATAAAAATAAATTAAAATTAATTGAAAGAAAATATCACTACTTTCATTTGTAGGGCACATTTTTTTTTTTTTCAAAAATGAAATTATATCGGTAGCTAGGCTACTTTTCTACAGAGCGCTGATGGATATTACCGAATTTCTACGAAAAGATGATTTGCTGTTGAAATTGAAGATGAAATAAATTTTTAAATTATAAGTAAACACTCAAAGTTAAATAATCATAAATAGTAAATAAATTTAACAGTCTGCAATGATTTTCATAGCGTCTCTCTTCAGCCTCTACTGGTCCTTAATACCAGTAATGCGGCTCAGTGGGAAGCGCTGGGATTTCCTAGAGTGTAGTTTTTCCTTCCACAAGTGGAGAGAAAGGATTGGTTCGGAGTTTTTCTGAGTGAATGGATTCTGTAAAGATTGTATAGTATGCATGTGTTTCAGTTGTTATTTTGATTAGCTTAGTTCTTTTATTTATATACATTTACCTTTATTATTATTAGTTTCTGTATTATTTATTTTTAATTATTGTAAACAGAGCGTGAATGTGCTCTATGAACACTATTATAAATGTCCTTATTTGTGACAGAATGAACTTTAATATTTCTGAATAAATAAATAATAATACATAAAAAAAAAATATTTCCAGTCATGGTCATTTTTACCATTGAACCACTTTTATTGACAATACTTGAAACTAATTAAATAAGTAATAATAAATAATAATTTATTTTAATGTGTTTTATACTTCAGAAACTGAAAGAAAAATATATTATGTTTTAAGATACTTTTTTTTTTTTTTTTTTTTGAATATGTGTGAGGTTTATAACAAAAGCTCGAAACCACATCTACCAAAAAGAAATGATTTTACTTGCTTTTGTAGCGAATGAATTTGATTGAATATTGACGAAGAAATTTGTATGAAAAACGACTGAGATAGTGAAATAAGAGGTTTAAAAATATATGGATTAAGCTAAGAAGCAAGGCTATGAACTAATTATACTAAAAGAAACAAACAAACAAAAATATTGAACCTATAATATTTGTACAACTTAGCAACGAGTATGGGTAAGCAGATTTCTTACTGCGAACGTTAACACTGTTTCCTCTCCGAAGAAATTCGATACATTGTAGTAGTTTACTTTTGCTGAGAAAAAAACGAATGAAAGGGTACTATTAATGTCGATTCATATTTAAAGATATATCCATAATGAAACAGATCTAATGACCTTTCGAAAAACTGTCATTATGTTTAAATCCGACTTTATCCCTATTGACGCTAATACTCATCCATGTCATCTAGGATCATCCTCCGATAAGAACACACCTCCCAATCATCGGCAATTAACCGAATACCCTAAGACAACTTCCTCTTCGTGTAGCTACAAGTCGAGGCAGACAAAATAAAACGTGTAAAAGACCGAAAAGATGGAGATTAGAAACCTGGAGTGAAGGACCAGGTTAAGGGCACACATCTCTGCCTTCTCAATATTTAATGTATTCAAGCACATGTCCCTTAATTTCAATATAATTACACATAATTGGTCCAGTTGGGTCAACCGGGATAATAAGCGTCTGGAATCTCCCATCCTCAATTCCTTTTTTAATTTTATTTTTTCCTTTTATCGTTTCCTTTCTTTTTTTTTTTTGATCCTTTGGCTTCTTACTTTAATAAAGACCGGGATGTTGGACTTTTTGTCACCCTATTATCCGCCTTTATAAATCATCGGATTTGATGCTCCTGTAATATCGGAGGCATCGGGCCCACTTCCCGGGATTATTTGGTTAATGTAGGCAGTTTATTGATGACAAGGGGAGGTATTTTATTTTTTTATTTTATTTCTTGACCTTTAATAAATGTTTATTAATAGAAGAAGAAGTTAAATTAATTAGAATTCCATATGTATATGTACGATAGTCTCCTCTATGAAAATATTGAGGGGCGAAAATATAATTTCGTCTCTCCCTTCCCACAACAATTTTATGTAAAAAAAAATTGAAATCAATAATATATAAGAATGAATGAATATAATCTGTTTACTAAAATCGATGCCAATTATTTCAGAATGGTTTATTATTTCCAAACAATTATACATCTAAAGTAACATTATCTTTCTAGAAACAAAGAAAAATAAATAAAAGATGATTCCAATTATTGGGCTAAACTTTTTTTTAATCGTTAATAATACATCCTTCGGATATTTTTTCTTTCCTTTTTTTTTTAAGTACAATTATAAGTATAGTTGAGAAGATTTTATTTCATTTTTTAA